GTGATTATTCTGTACTGAGAATTGCCACTCTATTTAGACATGCAGTAATTCAGCCTATCACTAGTTTAAAGGTTAATTTCTTTAATTCAGAGCATATAGCACCTGTGGTGAAGTGCCTGCCAATTTATTTTAATGAATAATTCAAGGAACATATATTTTACTCAGAGACTGTTTCTTTCCCTAGGTGTTTTTACTAGAAATATGGCAAGTGAATTAGATCAAGTGTCTGAGCCTAATTGATCGATTTATTGTTTTTTTTATTTTTTGAATACATAATTAATGTGTGCTTATTATACAAATATAAACCATTCTTATATGTAGAACTGAAATTCCAATTCTTGGAAATAACACTTTCAATTTACTTATTATTTATTTAGTTCTGGAAATTCCTCCCCCCGCCCCCTGCACACACACATAAAGCAGCCCTGTTGACACCTTGATTTTAAGCTAGAGACCCAGGTCTGACTTCTAACCTACAGACTGAGAGACAATACATTAGTGTTGCTTAAAACACTAAATTCATGGTAATTTATTAGGCCAGCAATAGAAAACTAATACAGATATGAATATATTTATATGCAGATCTACATAGTTTTGCAAACTCATTTTTCTTAAAAATATGCATAGAGATATTTTCATGTCATTTATAAAGAGTGCTCACTTATGTGCAGTTTTGCACATTTTGGGTCTAGTTTTGTAGGAGAAATTGCTAAAAACAGAATAGCTCTCTCAAATCGTAGGTACACTTTATCAGATGCAGCCAAATTGCCTTTCAAGAAGGTTCATCAATTAATATTCTCAACCAATAATATATGAGTGTCTCTATTCCACATCTATGCCCAAACTGGATATTATCAGTCACATTAATGCCATGGCCTTTTCCTTTTCCAGGAATGAAAATTAATTTTATAACTACTGAGTGCCATTATTTCTTCACTTGCTGAATACCACATGTTTTCACTCACGTGGAAGCTTAACAAGTTGATTTCACATGTATTCTAATGTGACACATTAGTGATTAACACATGATTTTATGAGAATGTCCTCTTGGTCCTAGTAGATGTTCTTAGTGTCTATGATGAATTGACAATATAAAAATTATTAAATCAGAAAATATTTAAAGAAAATTTTGAATAAAAGGTTTATAATCTTGGGTCCCAAAGCTTTGTGTTTGGACTTAACTAACTGAGCCGCTGACTGTACATGTTCAACTGGACATTTCCAGTACCATAGTTGATGGTGTTACCAATACTTACCCCGAGTTGAATTCCCACTGCTCAGTCTCTTCCTACCATTACCACTTTTCCCATCCCATGTTATGAGAGTATTAGTTCCTAAATAACCCAAATGAAAACATAGAGGTATCTTGGGATATTTTACAAATATGTAAAAACTAATATGCAGTGAGTTAAAGTAAGTCTCCAATCAAGTATGACTCAGAGAAGAATTTCAGAGCAAATTCATTAAAAATTACACTTGCTTACCAAGTATCCTCAAATTCTCCAGAAATCCTCCTTGGTTTTTAAATTGTAAAATGTTTTTAATAAACTAAAATTATGAGATACATGTACCCATGACCCATCCAGTTGAATTTAGTCATTTTTTGCCCTAGATGTAAGGTTTTCTGTTTGATTTTGAATATTTTTGTTAGCACCTCTTGTAGAACTTTAAATACCTAACAGGTTGTTACTATTATTATTTGTGTTGCTGCTCTTGTAGTTGATAGTATTATTATTACTATTTTGGTTAGTGAGAGTATATTTTTGGTTAATAACCCAAATCTTTAATAGTTATTGGTCTGTTCTGGTTTCCTATTCTTGAATCTGTTTGGATAATTTATACGGTTTTAAAAATTTAACATCTAAAATTTCTAATATGCTGGCATTAAGTTATTCTTAGTATTCTCTGATGACTATTTAAAAGCTTTTTGTACTTATATTACTTCTTTTCTATTCCTGATATTATTTATTTCTCCTTTTCTCATTTTGCCCTTACTCATTCTTGCCAAAGGCCTATCTATTTTTAATTGTCTATTTTTAAAAAAGACTATCTTTGTTTTTTATTTCATTCATTTCTGCTGTTATCACTATTATTTCCTTTGTTTGTCATTTTGAGTTTATGCTAACATTCACATTTTAACATGGCAGACTTTTTTTTTTTTTTTTTCCGTGTCCGGCAATGGATCGCAACCCTCAGTGTCGCCCCCGTACCTCGCTCAGCCAGTGAGCGGGAACCGGTCTGTATGGGGGATCCAAACCCTCGGCGGGAGCGCCGCCACACTTCCCAAGCGGCGCACTAGCGCATGCGCCACCGGGCCGGCCCTAACATGGCAGACTTTTAAAAATCATTTTATTCTCTATATATTTTATTTTGTTTTGTTTATTTTATTTTTTATTTAAACAGTTGATTATATCTATTTATAGGGTACAGATTTGAATATCAATATATGTGTACAATATTATGCGCCACCGGGCCGGCCCTAACATGGCAGACTTTTAAAAATCATTTTATTCTCTATATATTTTATTTTGTTTTGTTTATTTTATTTTTTATTGAAACAGTTGATTATATCTATTTATAGGGTACAGATTTGAATATCAATATATGTGTACAATANTGAAGAGGCTGGAAATCTCAAGGAAATATTACTTCATTATTCAATTATCTAAGTAATTATGTGTGCAACATCCAGACATTATAATGTAAATCACATTTGTCATCTAATGATATTTCTTTCTTTTCTAAATTAAAAAAATGACCTCATCTGATAACAATTTGCGCTTTGAATCAGTAGATAGGATTTGGGTTAAGTGACACTGCCACTTGACAGATAAAAAAACATCGTGATATTAAAACTTCTTCATCCCCCAAGTGGATCACTAGCCTAAAGTACAGGGGTGTTCATAAACCATCTTTATGTCGTCTCCTGTCAGAGAGAAAGTGTTCATCCTAAATCAAGAGCTGAAATACTGCCATTGTCTAAGACACATTTATTTCTTTAAAGGAATAGAACTCTTAAGCTAAACTTCTCACATGCTAGGTTAAATTTATTCCAATTGGTAAAATCCATATGTATTCAAGATATTAACAAATTGCACACATTATAGTAGTTTAGATAAATTTCAATAGTCTGTAATTCTTACAAGAGTATGCCTATTTGTTTACAAATAGTACAATTTTTGCTTTCAAATGTATCTTTTTATAGCATGTGTATCTCTGGAATTGAAATGAAATAAATACATCACATTCCATTTTTATAGAAAATAAACACTGTCTAAATAATGAACAGAATTTTTCATTGACCATCTTGAGTGGATTATATAACTTTTAAGAGCACTGTGTTTTCCAAATGTCTCAAGCTAGTATCTCTCCTAAACATAAATTACAAAATCAAATTCTCTATTCCTAGTTTGGATTATTTCTAAATTTGTCTTTCTTTCTACACCTCGTAAATCAAGTTTGATCCATATTGAAACCATATGATGTTTTTAAACTTTATTAATGGCAATATGTAAGTATAAATTCATAAGCAGCCTAGAGTCTAATATCAATTGTTATGAAGCTCAGTGCTTCAAATAACCATCAGCTCTAGGTGATTGACAATTGAATACACATTTTTAAACAACATAAAGTATGTTAACTAAACATTTAGCCATTATTCTTTAATCTTAAATAGTTTAATATTATAATATTGCCATAGAATAAAATGTCCTCAGAAATAGAATTCATTAGAATTTTAATTTCAGTGGGGTCACTTGTTCTTACCCAAAGCTAGTGGCATATCAAATAGAACCATAACAGCCGCTTTTATTATTTTTCAGGTTGCTTGTGTAGGTTGATGCACTGGTGAGATAATAGGCTATATTTCAGGGCACAGAAGGGAGAAAAGGACAAAAGTACTAATTAAATTTGAAATTAGTGTATTCCTGGAATGATGAATACACAGGAGAATACGGTAATTCCAAATGTCAACCTCATTTCCAGTGAACTTCTAAAAATTTTTAATAATGTCTTAATTTTTCACCTTCACATAAAACCAAAGGTCCACTTTTAGCAAAGGTTTTGAAGGATCCTAAATACAAACTCAGATATCATGTTTTTATGTTTAAAAAGTGCAGTGCA